GCCCATCCTCTGCAGGAACAACACCGGCTGGGACAACGTCGTTGTGAAAGCCTAACAATGTGATAAATTATATTACATGAATAATCTTAAATAAAATGGTGTAAATAATAAAATTATAAACCAATTATAACTATAATTAATTATATAAATAATTATAAATTGCAAAACAAAGTATGCTCAAAATGAAGCTGGACTATAACTCTAGAGAAACGGGATTAACACTGAGCCGAGGTAAATACAACCAAATACAATAACGAAAAGGAGTGAAAAAAGACACGTCAGCTGGAACTTCGCGACCAGCGGCCTAGGAGGCTGCTGTGACATCCGGGCTACACCGGGCAGACAACACGTCTGGGTAAACCAGCGGCCTGGGAGGCCGCAGTGACATCCGGGCTACACCGGGCAGACAACACGTCTGGGTAAACCAGCGGCCTGGGAGGCCGCAGTGACATCCGGGCTACACCGGGCAGACAACACGTCTGGAAAACCAGCGGCCTGGGAGGCCGCCTAGCTAGATGACCAAATAAATATAAAACTGAAACATCGCCGGCTTAACTCGTCACAGGAAGGACGTCGGCTGAGAAGCAGCAGTACCTTCCGACTAAATTGAGGAATAAACTGAAAGTTTAATCGCGGCAGAAAAAGTTGTATAAAACATGGAGCAAACGCAATGCATAAATTGCAGTAACAAATTGCTGAGGGAAATGGCTCATAAAACAAGTGCAGGAATAATCTAAAGTCAGAGGCTTGCTCCATGCTAAATTGAGGAAGACTAATCTTAATACACGTCATGACTGGGAGACTAAGGATATAACAAGTTATTTTATTAAGCGTTTGGTTAATGATGGAGGAACGTAAATCACCAAAACAGGAGCGGGCTCCTGTTTACTAAATTGACATGGAAATACGAATTCTTTTACGAATAGATTTTTTTTTTTTTTTTTTTTTTTTTTTTTAAGGCAGGAGGTGTAAGCAATGCTATAAATTTCCTAAATTTGCCGCGTAATGAAACTAATCAAGCTGAAAGTCTAAATAAAGGAATGTAATAAATTGAACAGAATTAATTAAAAATGACCGCAATAATTAGAATTAAATCCATTACTCGTAAACCCTCTTGTATATATGTACCTTACCTAAATAAACATTTGATTTGATTTGAAGTAGCTCAAGCGGCAGACCGCACGGCCAGGCGTTATGCTGGACGCTGAAAACTTGGGATGAGGAAGGGGCCCGCGTAACCGGGCACTCCAGGCAGACCAACATCTGGTACACGCGACCAAGGAAAACACGGGAATATTGTGCTACAGCATTCGAACGAAACGTGGTGGAATTGACGTACCGGGCTACACCGGCCAGACGAAACGTCTGGGTACGAACGTGCCAGCTATACCAGCTGGACGAAACGTCTGGGAACAAAGGTACCGGGCTACACCGGCCAGACGAAAACGTCTGGGTACGAACGTGCTGGCTATACCAGCTGGACGAAACGTCTGGGAACAAATGTACCGGGCTACACCGGCCAGACGAAAACGTCTGGGTACGAACGTGCCGGCTATACCAGCCGGACGAAACGTCTGGGAACAACTGTACCGGGCTACACCGGCCAGACGAAAACGTCTGGGTACGAACGTGCCGGCTATACCAGCCGGACGAAAAAACTGGGAACAAATGTACCGGGCTACACCGGACTTACGACAACGTCTAGGACGAACGTGCGGGCTAAACCGGCCCGACGAGACGTCTGGAGACGCCTACAACTAACACATCCTGGTTGACTTTACATAATCACATAAAAGGCAAAGCAGAGGTTAAACAAACATAAATGTAAAACCAGCAAAGGAACACGCAGCTTGACACTGCATAAAATTCAATAATAAATTAAGGAAACTTATGGAAAACAAATCCATAAAACAAAGTTAGGGGCCAGAGGCCTGTGACACTGCAGCTAGCCTAACCTAGCTAACTTTACCTGATAACTTAAAGGCAATAGCAAAAGTTAAACAAACAAATGTAAAACCAGCTAAAGAAACATGCAGCTTGACACTGCATAAAATTCAATAATAAATTAAGGAAACTTATGGAAAACAATTCTATGAAACAAAGCTAGGGGCCAGAGGCCTGTGACACTGCAGCTAGCCTAACCTAGCTAACTTTACCTAATAACTTATAGGCAATGACCAAAAGTTAAAACAAACCAGCTAAAGAAACATGCAGCTTAACACTGCATAAATTTCAGTAGTAAATTAAGGAAACTTGTGGGAAAACAAGTCCATGGAAACAAAGCTAGGGGCCAGAGGCGTGTGACACAGCAGCTAGCCTAACCTAGCTGACTTTCCCTAATAACTTAAAGGCAATAAGCAAAAGTTAAATAAACCTAAATGTACAACCTGCAAAAGAAACATGGGGCTTGACACTGCGTTAAATTCATTAATAAGATAAGGAAACTTATGGAAAACTAGTCCATGAAACAAAGCTAGGGGCCAGAGGCCTGTGACTCGGCAGCTAGCCTAACCTAGCTAACTTTACCTACAAACTTATAGGCAATGACCAAAAGTTAAAACAAACCAGCTAAAGAAACATGTAGCTTAACACTGCATAAATTTCAGTAGTAAAATAAGGAAACTTGTGGGAAAACAAATCTAAGAAAACAAAGCTAGGGGCCAGAGGCCTGTGACACTGCAGCTAGTATGTAAGAGCAGCTGCTGGCTTGGGGAAAGGGGGCCCACACCGTCTCCGTCCCGGTTTATATAACCTCGGGTCAATGCGCGCGCAGCTTGGGGCGGTTAAAGTCGGCTTCCAGACATACGTTTTCTTCCACTCAGAAAACCCACCGTTTTTGGGAAACAGTGTTCTTTTTATTGAGGTAAAATACACACAAAGGGATGAGGTAGCTCAAGCTATTCTCACCCCGTTCAGTAAGTGTTAATACATACATAGACACACATCACAAACAATAAACATATTTGTTCAGGGGTGATCATGATCGACCCCTTCCCGTGCTCTTGGACCACATACGATAAATCGAATAGGTCCAGGTTAGGGCTTTTACGGAGCAGATCTCCAAATCTCCGTTGGTCAAGCCCAACCTCTTAAGAACACGGGCACTCTCAATGCTGAACCCACCTCTCCAATTCAAAGTGATTGAGGAGGTAGAGACTGCATTAGCACCGGTGTAGTCCCTGACCCATTGAAGGATCTCGGGGGGTGCCATACCATTCACATTTGCTCTGGTGTGGCCGGGAGAGTGAAAAGCCGTCAGCCGAGACCTGGGTGTCAAGAATTATGGCCTCGTTACTTTTGCAAGCAATGTAAACTGGTTGAGAGAGGTACAGTCTTTAACATGGTTGGGAAGGTCATTCCACAATCTGGGTCCCTTGATTTGTAGAGCATTTCTAGTTTGATTAAGTCGTACTCTAGGAATATCAAAACTGTATTTATTTCTCGTGTAGTGCTCATGGGTTCTGTTACAACCTTCAATGAAGCTTTTGAGGTCAGGATTGGCATTACAGTTCAGCGTTTTATATATGTATAATACACATGAGAGAATGTGCAGTGACTTAATAGATAACATATTCAGAGATTTGAGTAGGGGTACCGAGTGATGTCTTGGGCCAGAGTTGGATATTGTCCTAATAGCAGCTTTGTGTTGAGTAATTAGAGGACGTAAATGATTTTGGGTAGTAGAACTCCAAGCACAAATACCATAGTTGAGATATGGATAGATGAGGGAGTAATAGAGAGTCACCAGGGCAGGGCGTGGTACATAATATCTGATCTTAGAAAGAATGCCAACAGTTTTTGAAACTTTTTTTTTTATATATTTAGAATGTGTCCCTGGAGATTCAGCTTGTGGTCAATGAGAACGCCAAGGAATTTGTCATCTACTTTGTTACAAATTTGGGTATTATTTTTCCTAGATTTATTTGATTTGAGGATTTTGTGCCAATGTATTATTTATTTTTTTATTAGTTTAGTTAATTTATTATGCACCCCCATACCCATCTTGTGGCAGAGGTCACGACCTCTTTGTAGGGTGCAGTCACACCTCCACAGATCTCCAGTATCAGCTAATGATACTGGTAATGGCTCCAAAGGGCCACCACTTACGGGCTATTCATGCCCGTGCCACCTTTTGGGTGGCTTAATCTTCATCAATCAATCATCTTGTGGGCGGTAGTGGAAAGGGTTACGGAGGCACATAATGTGCTCAGGGACTGAACACCACAATTCATTTAGCTAAACAACCTAATTTTGCTAATAAAAAAATAACTTAGGTATAACAACAATGTGCTGCTAACGAATTCTATATGAAAGGTTCAGTTGGTACGTTATATTATATTGTAAAATTCTGAAATAATTTAATTCTCTAATTAAAGTCTTCAAATGCTATCAATGCATTTAGAAAGGAAAAATCTGATGAAAGTACCTTTAAAAGATGTTGAAATAACAGCGTTTGTGTTTAGTTCATTGTACGGCAGGTCCAGTAATGTATATTGATGCTACATGTTGATATAACAACTGATCTTGAGTCAATTTAAGAAACTCACTGAATGTCTTGATCCCAGAACGACGTAATCTATTGGCAAACATGTACTAAAGTGTAATTAAATATGATATGCGTTTGGTCTAGTGTTGGACTTAAAAGCAGTCATTGAAGGGCTATAATTATAACTCCTGTAACTGCATTTTACCGGATAATCAGCATGTATACGTTAATCCTGAATATATTATTGACTAAAATAAACTCAGCCTATATATATATTATAGGTATATACTCCCTCTATATATATATTATAGGTATATATCGATTCAATTTCTTTCTTTATTATGCATCCCATACCCACCCCGTGGGAGGTGGTGTAAAGGATTACAAAGGAACATAATCGGTTCAGGAACTGAACCCTCTAATTCGTTTAGCTAAGCAAATAAAAATTTTTGACGCTAGTTACAAAATTATTAATGTATACACACTCCGTCAGTATATAGGAGGGTGGTGAGGGAGAGCTACCAGCCTCGGGAGGAACTAGTGTGGTCAGCGCCACATTATTGGAACTCTGATGGTAAACAATCCCTCCTCAAGGACACACGACCTGCCGATTATTCCCCGATATTTTCCACCTTTTCCGACCGTACCCCCGAGTTTTGGTTATATTGGAGCGAGAGCTTGGAGGTGTGTGGGTGTGGCGAGGTGGACTCTGGCCAACTACGGGAGGAAACGACGTTTTTATTCCTGTGAGTTGTGGTGTTGGGTTAGTGGAGGGGGCTTGTAGGTCAAGTCGCTCCTCTTCATACTGGTGCCCAGCCCGAGCTGGGTAGGTTTGATTTTATTTTATACACAAGACTGCTCAACAAAGCTCGTTGTATAATTGTTAAGAGTATATATATATAAATAATTCTTAGGTGCAACATAAGAATAAAGGAAACAAAAGTTTTTTTTGTTCATATGAAGCAGCTTCTATTTATATCCACTCAAACTCATTCATATATTTCAAATCTCTGGTTGAAAAACTCCAGTGATCCCACATTTATTATGATGTCTGGTAATTGTTTCCATTAATCAACAACCATATATCCAAAATAATATTTACCTAGTCTTTTTCTGAATCTCATCTTATCCAATCCAGGCATGGTGACTTTTTTTGATAATTACTTAACCTTATACTTGACCTTATCCAGTTTGTATCAATTGTTCCATGTTCTATTTTGTGTTGAAATGTTTGTCAAATTAATATTACCTTTCATCCCTTTATATATTTAATGTTACCTCCAACTCTTTGTCTTTCTAGAGAATGTAAATTAAACTTTTAAATCTTCCATGACCTCATAAGGGAGGTGTCCAATTCCTGGGATTATCATGTCATCTCCTTTTATATATAATTAAGTTTGTCAATTCTCTAGTACGGAGACCAAAACTTAACTGTATAATCTAAATGGGGCCTAACAAGACCAATATAAAGGTGAAGAATAAAAGGAGTTTTATTGCTAAAGCTTCTAGAAATAAATCTCGGTATCACATTTGTCTTATAACTACAGTATTTTACATTATGAATGTTTTATAATTTTGATTAATATCTCTACTAATCACAACTCTAAGATCTTTCTTGCATTCAGATTTTGCAATTTTAACATTAGCTAATACCAAGTAATTTATCACCTGGGCTCAGAACTCTACCTTTTTGAACATTAAATTATATCTGCTAAACTTTTGTCCATTTTAAAAGCTTATCTAAATCATTTTACAGGAATTCTGAGTTTTTGGATTTCCAAGTGCAGCTGTTCAATCCTGTCTAAATCCACTTATTCTAATTCTTTGCTTTGGAATAACTATGTCCTTTTCTAACTGAATAACACTCTCAATGCCACGAGCCTCTTCATTTTAAATCAATCTTTCGTGAGACACAGTATGAAAAATTTTGCTTATGCCAAGGTATGTAATGTTGCACTTAATAATAATTAGGGATGGTTGTAAGGGAAGTGCCAATGGATGAAAAGAAACTATTGCATTTAGTAGCAGTGTCAGTGGCTGATAACATTCCATCATTTTCAGCAAGGAATGTAATTTTTTTCTTATGTAATTTTTTGACCCTAATATCATGGAAATTATGTTCCATGTTTTTCATGTCAACCCTTTACTGTATATTTAAATACATTATTATATTTTGCAGGTGCCGTAGAGTTGTGAGCAATGGATGGAGGTTTGTTATCACTGCGGTGGAATGACCACGGCCAGACATTCTTCAAGATGCTCTCCGGTGTGAGAAAAAGGGTGAGTGGTCAACATCATCCCTCCATCAGTCTCATTTGTTTCACAATAAAATGTTCAGTTAAAGCTAAATCTGTAAAGTGTAGTTAGTTATAAACTCTGTAACAATTCTGGCCTGATTGAACAGCACTAGGATTCGTCAAGCATTTACACAACCACTTAGAAAACCTGTATATCTCACTCTCAACATGGCAGATTTGTTTATATTTATTACAGTTTACGAGGTAGAAAGCTTCACAACCCAAGGTTATTATTCTTATAAACGACTTCATAGTGTTTTGAATCTCAAACACTTTCATATACTGTACAGTGGAGCCTCGATTAACAAATTTAATCCATTCTGGCACCAAGCTCGTTATGTGGCAAACTCGTCTTTAGAAACTAATTTCCTCATTTAAAATAATGGAAATAAAATTAATCCGTTCCACCCCCCAAAAACATCAATACTTGTATGATTTTTATAATGTAAATATAATACTGCACATGTAATTATAAATGTTTTGTTTTACTGTTTTCAATTGTACTTTACCTTATGAAGAGTCGTTGCTGGCTTGAGGGAGACGATGAGGTGGTGGGAAGGAGAAGAGAGGATTATGGTGTGGAAGGATAATCCACCTCAGAGTCAGGCAGGCGCTCTCTCTCTTCTTGGGAATTTCACCCCACTGGGACCAGGTTGTGGTTCACTATCATGGGCTCTTCTTTTCTTTACTTTTGCAAAAAATATATCTATTGACAATTGCTTTCATCTTTGTTTTAGGATGTCCCTAAAACGAGACAGCAAATTGTCATTAAACATGTTCACACAGCGGGTTGTCACTGCTTTATCAGGGTGATGCTTTTCCAAGAATGCAATCACCTTTTCAAACATTCCCAACACTTCCCTGATCTCACTGGAAGAGGCAGCAGCATCCTGCCTTACCTCCTCCTTCCCTGATGAGAGCTCTTGTACATCCTCTTGATTCTGCTCCTTCTGAAGTTTCAGGAGTTCCTCAGTGGTCAGTTCATCACTGTGCTCCTCCACTAATTCCTGCACATCAGCAGCATCCAACTCCAGACCCAAAGTTTGTCCCAGAGCAACAATATGCACATCTGGGTCTTTCAAAGGTGCAGATGTAAATGCAGGACCGAAACCTTTGAAGTCTCACCTGGGGACACCCTCAGGCCACAGGTTTTGCCATGCAGAGTTTAGGGTCCTCCGTGTCACTCCTTCCCAGGCCTTATCGATCAGATGTAAGGCACCAAGGATATTGAAGTGGTTCTTCCAGAATTCTTTGAGGGTCAGCTCTGTATTGTCTATCACATCAACACACCTTTCCAACAAGGCCTTCATGTAGAACTTTTTAAAGTTTGCAATGACTTTCTGGTCCATGGGTTGGAGGATTGGAGGAGTGGAGTGAATAAACTTGGTGATGAACTGATTTTCGGGAAACAAATCTTCTTGCATCTGTGGAGAATGTGCAGGAGCATTATCGAGCACAAGCAAGGCCTTGAGTGGTAAATGCTTCTCTTCAAGAAATTTCCTCACTGAAGGGCCAAAAACATCATTGACCCATTCACTGAAGAATATCCGCATGACCCAGGATTTCTTATTGGACCTCCACATCACATTCAGTCGCGTCTTGTGCACTTTATACTCCTTGAACCCTTGTGGATTTTCTGAGTGGTAGATGAGGAGCGGCATGACCTTGCAATCGCCACTTGCATTAGCGCAGAGCACGAGAGTAAGCCGATCCTTCATCAGTTTGTGGCCAGGCAAAGATTGTTCCTCTTGCGTGATGTAGATCCTCTTCCTCATTTTCTTCCAAAACAGGTTAGTCTCGTCACAATTAAAAACTTGTTTGGGCAAGAACTCCTTTCTAGCAACAAATTCTTGGAACTTTGCACAAATTTCTTGCCAGCAGCTTTAGCAGAGCTGGCAGCCTCCCCCATGTCGCACAACACTGTGTATACTGCTTCTCTTCCTAAATTTCCTAAACCATCCACGACTTGCCTTAACCCTTCAATTGTGCATCGCATCATATGATGCTTTGACCGACTTGCAGTAAATTGCGCATCGCATCATGTGATGCTTTGGAGTACTACGCAAGATTTAAACGACCCGCGGATACACGGGGTTCACCACACCTTCATCAGGGCTCTTGTAAACAGACGCCATTTTAAAAAAAAATCGTGGGCCAAACTCCCAGGTGTTAGGGGCCTCAGTATTGAGTCAGCTACCAAGCCTGACGCACACAGCATGAACTCACAGCACTGCTGTTCAACTTGTGACCACAGCATCGCCTAAAAATGCCATAATATACTTGTTCATGCTATTATGTAGCGATGATATTATTACAGAAGATCCCTGACTGTGATAAAACTGACCAGGGTTCTGATAATAGCTGGATTGTGGTGATATTTGGCGCTGTGCGCCATGGAGGGAGGAGTAATGCTGTGGGAGGGAGGATGGTGGCGTTGTCTTTTGAGTGTGTGTGGCCACCTTTTATTGACTGCACTCACCATACCAGCTTAGTGGTTCGCTATGGTGAACACAAATGTAGATACTTATATATAACGTGTGTATAGTGTGAGATAACAGCGAGAGTAGGAGGTTGGGAGCCGCCATTCAGTGAGGAGCGGAGCGTCGTCTGCAGGACTTACCATGTTGTTTACTGATGACCACGATGGTCTTTGGGCACCATACCAGTTTACTTGTACAAGTATGGTGAATAAAACGGGTAGATATTTATATATAATGTGTGTATATAGCGTAATAACACCACAAACAGTATTGTTGTAGGAGAAATATTAGTGCGTCTGGCCTTGAGGGCGGCCGCCACCAGCTGATTGTGTGAGTAGCTACGTCTTTGTGCCTTTACTCACCATACAAGCTTAGATGTACAGTTATGGTGAACAAAACATGTAAATACTTATATATAACGTCTGTATATAAAAGCAAAAACAGTATGGTGGGTGAAGAATGGTGGCAAGTGAGGTGAGGTAAGGGAGGGAGTGGCAGCCAGTCACTGCCTGCCACTGCCACTGCCACTCAGCATACCAACTTAGTGGTTCGTCATGGTGAACAAAACATGCAGATAATTATATATAACCTGTGTATATAGTGTAATAACCGACAAAGTATTTGTTCACCGTTTGATGAACATAATTGAATCAACAATATGCACACCATATTTTTGAGTACAGCGATGATTCACTCATTTTATTATATAAATATATCACACTACACACTATTAAATAATATTACAACAAAAAAACTACGAAAAATCAATCAGAGACATTGAAATAATTAGGTAATTATCTCTTTGTGGAAACTCTGGCCTGACAGCTGGCGATCAACAGACCGCCTGGGACGCACGCTCAGTCAGCGCCTGATTTTTGCCACACTTCCCCGCCCTATAGTGGGCAATATATGCCACTTACGATTTTTTTATTATTTTTCCCGTGATCAGTGAACACAAATTAACAGGTTAGGAAGAAAAAATATATATTTTTTTTTTTGGTATGCGCCTGTGGGTGTCAAATGGTATATAGCTTGCGCCATTTAATGGTTAAATATCTCCTCATCTTCAGACGATGCACTTGGTGTCTTCTTGACAAGGTCCACATACAACTTCTTTGCCTTAGCACAAACAATGGCTTCAGAGACACTATTGCCATGTGATTGCCTTTCATTCATCCAGACCAGCAGTAGCTTTTCAACCACTTTTAGGATTTTTGGACGTTTATTGGTAACCTTGGTAACTCCCTTAGCCACTTCAAGCATCTTAAATTGTTCCTTCCTCTTCAAAATGGTGCAAATTGTTGAGGAGGACCTGCCATACTCCCTGGCGAGATCAGTCACATGGACACCACGCTCGTGCTTTGTTATTATTTCCTTCTTCATTTCTACAGTAATTGTCTTTTTCTTCCCCTTGCCAACACGGTCTTTAGCAAGCAGCTTCTTTGGCGACATCGTGCGTTACAAATTGTAGTCACAAAACCCACAAAAAACAAAGAAAAGCACAAATAAATGCAGAGGGAAGCTTGTCCTGCATGATACAACAACAACACTGTCGTCGGAGGCGTCCGAGAATTTGCGAGAACCAGCGAGAACGCTAGGAAGCACCATGTGGTTTCGTTCGTTAATAGAGCGCAAGCTCGTCAGACGAGAAATTTTCTGTGAGTGGCTTGCGCGTTACTCGAAATGCTCGTAGATAGAGCCGCTCGTTACTCGAGGTTCCACTGTATATTTACAAAGCCTCAGTAATTGAAGGTAGATGTATAGGTGTCATAAGTGAAGACACAAATGCTTGGTGAATACTAATATATAGCAGTGTAAATCAAACATCGGTTTTTTCACATAAATTCAATAACATGTAACTTACAATTAGAATGTTTTACTAGTATATATCATCAGTGTGTAGTTCATGATTAGAGTGGTGAGACAGACACTTTGGCAAAACATATATTATAAAATTAGGATGATGAGACGGCAATTTGAAGTAGTAGTGTGAAGTCGGGTTGTGGCCCACTAACCCTGCAACCACTAACTGTAGGAGTAGACACATTTTATACAAGATCTCTTAAGTGAGCTTGTGCAGTAAGGAAGGTAATACACCTTTAGGGTCAATGAGCTCATGCAGTAAGGAAGGTAATATACCTTTAGGGACAGTGAGCTCGTGCAGTAAGGAAGGTAATACACCTTTAGGGTCAATGAGCTCATGCAGTATAGAAGGTAATATACCTTTAGGGACAGTGAGCTCGTGCAGTAAGGAAGGTAATACACCTTTAGGGATGGTGAACTTATTCAATAAGCAAGGCTATGCACCTTAACCCTTCTGCTTTGTTATTGTTCACAAAATTAATAAAAAAAAATTATGAAATAATATGGTGAGTATGGTAAAAATAACAAAATTCTAGATACAGTACTGTACTATAGTCTGACCATACTGTAGTAAGCTTAAGTAGATTTACTCGCTTAGCATCCAGATAAAAAAATCTTTAATAGCTAGATTAAAAAATAAATTGATAGTGAAAATATTTATGAATGTACTGTATATTAGTATGAAATTTAATACATGTTGTTTATGTATTATGTATACTGTACTGTATATTGTGCTTAAGACTAAAGTTAGTGAAGGACAGGAGTAAAGAAGAGTGATTAAATGATTGATAAATAATTTGTCTTAAGAACATAAGAACAAAGGTAACTGCAGAAGACCAGAAGGCCCATATGAGGCAGCTCCTATTTATAACCACCCAACCCCACTCATATACATATCCAACCCACGCTTGAAACAATCATACAAGCTGCCTTGTATGGTCCAATAGGCCTTCTGCAGTTACCTTGATTCTTATGTTCTTATGTATTATATTTTTTCTTAGTATTTTTGTGTCAAGATGTGTCCAAATAGAGGGGCTAGGAATTCCTTCCTCTGTAATCTGTTCTGGTCTGCAGGTGCAGTATAACTGGCAGAACTTTGTGTCATGAAATCATTTAACCATTTCAGGAGGCGTACTGTGATGTTACTCTTGCGTGTGATGGACGCTTTTATCCAGTCCACAAGCTGGTCCTCTCTACCTGCAGTGATTTTTTTGATCAGATGTTTGAAAAAACAGCATGCAAACACCCAGTGATTGTTGTTGCCAATGTTGCATACAAAGATCTCGAAGCACTGCTCAATTACATGTACTTGGGTGAAGTAAATGTTCTACAGACTGAACTTACTGGGCTCATGAAGGCTGCTGAGGCACTGAGAATCAAGGGTCTAGCAGAGCCTTCCAAGGGGCCATCGTCAAGGGATTTTAGAGAAAACAAGAGGTCTTCATCGAGGGATGGAGATTTGACTGATAGCAAACGAAAGAGAACTGAAGAAACCCAAAACATTTCGAGACAGAACCAATTGCCGGCCTCTGAGAGTGACAGAATGGTGAATTCCAGAGAAACTCAAAAGTCGAAAGTAACGAATAATGATTCTCGAGCACCAGTAGTCAAGGCGCAAGGTCCATCAAGCTGTGGTAGTAATTCTAGCAATTCAACAGATCATCCGGGTGCCTCCTCATCTACAGAGCCTTTAGGGAATTCAACAAAGCAAGACTTGGGTGCGTCTTCCCAAAGTGATGCTGAAAATGATCCAACTGACAAGGCTCTTAGACCTGAGGTAAGTTGTCCTTCCTTAAGATAGCTTCCATAGTTTTTCTCAGATACTGTATATGAACAATCTTGTGAATCAACTCGTTCTCGGATCAAGGCCATTCCATCCAGCTGTCGACCCCACAGATGCATTCATAAATTTTAACATGCTGTTCATTCAAAACAGGAATTTTCTCAAATATAAATTAATATTAATATATATATAGTATTAGCATATTGTACATATTTAGGCATTGGTTAGGTTAAGTGTTTAGGTTCTGTTAGCGATTATTTATTTTTGTATGTGAGTGAAGAATTTACAGCGTTCTGGTTTGAACAAAAGTCATCATAAACAGGGGTTTGGTGGGTGCATGGAATGGACTTTGGCTTTTGTTTATGAGGATGGGCTGTGTGATTTCATTGTGCTACATTCAGTTTTACTCTTATTACTGAAAATATGAATCTTGGAACTTTGAGATTTACGCTAGGATTCTAATTCGTAGTTGCAAATCTTTTTTTTTTTTTGTGTCCTTATTTCAAAGGCAGGATTAAATTTCTAATACAATAACTCATAAAATATCTGTAAAAGACTTAGTTTATTGCATGAATGAAAATCAATCCTCTTACTAGAATACTTTACAGTATTTAAGTTTGGAATTCTGAGCTACCAAATGGGACCTTTCTTCAATAACAACTCTATAAATTGTGGTGTAAAGTGATGGATGTCTCATTGTGTGAAAAGTATAATGAAAGGCTTGTAGAGTATAGGTTGCAGTAATGTGGTTGAAACAACCCTAACCTGCACATGAAATGAATAGGTGACGACATTTCAATCTGTCTTGTCTTTACATTTTGAATTTGTGTGCGTGTTGGGCTATACCAGGGGTCTCCAAACTATGGCCCGCGGGCCACATCCGGCCCGCCACATAATTTCTTCCGGCCCTCCAAACAAATCCCTGTGTGGTGGCCTTGAAAAAATAATTATCGTACGAATGGCATCGCAGAATTATTCAAAGCTGGGGCTGCTGACTGGTGGCGCTCAACCCGAGTCAGTTTTCCTCTCTCTCGTTAGTGTGACGCACAGATACTAATACTGGTAGGTATGTGTTGTGCATTACAACCAATCAGTTGTGTATAACTGTATATTGTGGGGATGGAGGGCGAGTGGGGCTTCGCTGCTTCCGTTTCAGGGAGCACAAACACTGTACAATATTCTTTTCTCTGTACTTTGACAATGCCTTTATCTTAGTTATACAAAATAGCAATAATACTATTGTAGCCAAAAATATTGCATGTTTAAAATAGTTAAAATGGTAACCATTAAGTTTAATGGTTACCATTTACCGGTTACCATTTACCGGTATGCGGGCCGGTTACCTCCGGCCCGCATAAATATAGGAAATATATAATGTGGCCCTTACATTGAAAAGTTTGGAGACCCCTGGGCTATACGAAAGGATGGTTGACTGAGCATGTTGTGTAGGTCACCCTTTCATAAATGCAGAAAAGGACATGTGGTAAGGAAGAAATATTAGGGGGGCCGGGAAATGAAATTTTGCACGTTGCTCACTTTCAAATTTTTTGTACATAATCTAATAGGCACATGCTCCAACTTTGTCTAAATAATCACCAACATAACTTGAAAAACAAGAAAATTAAAAATAATTATATAAATAAGTATTGAAAATTTAAGATTTTCAAATGAGCGTAAAAATATTAAATATCACAAATTGTTCGTTTGGTGGTGTTATGCTCTCAGAAGAGCATATGATCTTCATTTTTATTAGTTATTATTATAGGATTCAGTATAATTTACTGTAAAAAATTGTCAATATGGCATTTCAGCTATGCGCCAAAGTTTGAACAAAAAAATTATAACTCCCAACATTTAAGGTTTATGAAAAAATAATCTAATAGGATTGTAGAACAGACAGCTGTGCCCATTATATGTAAAGATGGTGAGAATGAGACAGAAACTGGATTTCTGATGCTGGCTTAAAGTTGAAACTCTAGTTTTAGAGATTCAAGTTATCAACAATGAATAAGGTAGTTCTTATTAATTAATGTACATGTACGTGTTAATAAACATTGTTTGGCATTCGTACTTGAATATGTGAAAGTTGTAGGTCAATATGTGTAGAACTGAAGTCGAGAAAAAATACCCCCCAAAAAACAAAATACAGTGGTACCTCGCATAACGAATTTAATCCGTTCCATGTTCGTCATGTGAAACGGACGTCATACAAAACGAGTGTCCCCCCATGTAACCAGTGTGATGCACTGTGTTTATTGTGAAATTTCCCGAGTGCATGACATCAAATGTTCCCCAAAATAAAATTTTTCTTTGTAAAATGATAAATTTCCGTCCCTGAACATGTCTATGTAAAAATAATTACCAAATTCCACTTACTTTGGCTGTGAGGGCGTGGACAAGGTGCGCTGTGACGTCATCAGGGCCTGGTCGCCCGTGTGTGAAGCTCCCAGACACGGTCGCGCAGGCCATTCAAGCACCGCGTGTTGCCACAAATATATTTTCAAATATTTTTTCTATGCATTTCCAATGCGGTTTTATTTGTTTCATTTATCGTATATGATGCATATTTGTGACCTTTACAATATGTATACAGTAGAATGTTCATAATTTTCCATGAAACTGTGATACATGTGTCAGTAATGTGTCCACAATAAATGTTTGTCACAATATTACGTGGTAAAAATTCACTAATATTACAATATGTACAGTTTCACATACTATTTACACAGTAACACACTGTATTACACACTCAGTACTTTGGAGGTGCATAATAGTCAACGAAGTAGTCCATGGTACACAGCGCGACTTTGCTCTCCTTGCACCAGCTACAGATAGATTTTTGCTTCCTGTTTCATCGTTGTGTGTGCTTGCAAATAACGCACTTGCGTGCACCCTTGGCTTTAGTACTTGTAGGTGGTATGTAGCCAAGCTTGTAAAGCATAAAGTAGTATTGAAACGATTATAGGAAAAGCTCAATTTGTAAGGTAGTCTTGAAAAGATCGCTTTGTAAGGTCCCACACAGGAAGAGATTCAGCTAGCCTCAAAGAGTGTCCATCAGTCAGGAAGAGATTCAGCTAGCCTCAAAGAGTGTCCATCAGTCAGGAAAAGATTCAGGTATTCTTGAAAATATCAATGAACACCACCACCATGGAAGCCGCTAACACTGTTAATCTATGCTACTTGTATCAGATGCATCATCACTGAACGCAGAAAACGATTCATCTATGTATCATCTATATACATTAGAGATGGCAAGGGTGGGGCTCAGAGCTACACCTGGATACGCTTGCTGTATCATCCTCATAGGTGCTGTATCACTGGCATCCGACCGTTGTGTTAAGCCCTTATTGCGCCTAGCTTCACCAATGTTATGACCCTTATGTTCTTCAAACAAAAGGGTCTGAATTGCACCGACTGAGCACAGTCTTTCAACACCGTGTGGGACAGGTGTTTGAGAGCCAGAGGCACGTGTGCCACAAATGGTTGCTCACGCAGTACTAACCCAGCCAGCAGCCCTTGTCTTTCATATTCGTTATGGCAAAAGGTTCGTTCAGTTTTTGTTGGGTAGGCTGCTCCATTATGACAATCTTTCTTTGTTTCAAATGTGTTCCATTTGTTTTGTATTTGTCACTTACGTCTCAATAATGGAGCAGCCTACCCGACAAACACTGAACGAACCTTTATGACATTTGTCCATTTTTCAAATTGTTTCAACAGTTCTTTTATTTTTCGTTTTTTTTTTTTAAGAAACATGGAGCAGCCGACCTGTAGACCACCGAACGAACCTTTTTGACATTTGTACTGGTTTTCAAAATTCTTCATTTTTTTTATTATTTACGTTTTTTGTATGTAAGAAACATGGAGCAGCCTACCTGCCGACCACCGAACGAACCTTTTGCTATAAGGCAAATGAAAAATAAATATTGAACACATTTGAAGAAAGGAAAATGTCATAATGGTTTATTCAGTGTATGTAAGGTAGGCTTCTCCATTATTGAGACGCAAATGACAAATAAAAAACAAATGGAACACATTTGAAACAAAGAAAGATTGTTATAATGGAGCAGCCTACCTGCCGAACACCGAACGAACCTTTTTGACATTTGTTGTATATCAGACATTTCATTTCTTTTTTCCTACAAAAACGTCAATGCTTTGCAACATCTCAGTAGTCACCCTTTTATATCCCAGCATCATTAGCATCTTTAAACAAGAACAACATAATTTATGTGCATCGTCGGAGGCGTCTAAGAATGTGCAAGAAGCAGCGCGACCCCACCATGTGGTGTTGACGTTACTCAAACCAGCGTTCGTCATAAGGGACGATTTGACGCCGATCGGGCCGTTCGTTACCCAAAATATTCGTCTTTTGGGGCAATCGTTATGCGAGGTACCACTGTATAAGGATAATTATAATGATTTAGGGAGATATATATATGTATACTTTATATAAGTGATAAGGCCCTAATCTGGTTCCTAATCATCAAAACAATCTAAAGAGACAAAGAAAATAGAGTTTGATATCTGTGAAAAAATCACCCCTCCAAAAATTCAAAGTTCTAAGTTCTGCCAGTTGTAGCGGATGTATTGGTTGACCAATTACATTCTATCTGTACATAGTTAAGGACGGGTATGCACTCAACACGATGCAAAGATTACAACCAAATCGGATAATAAACAAAGAGAAAAAAATCTCCCCTAAAAAATAAATTTGTGGACATTGGTGAAAGTAACATATATTGACATTGGACAATGTATTTATATGATATATAACAAAATAGAGCATAATAGCATACTTACTCATCATTATTTGTTGTATTATGTATTACTCAGCAGTGTTATAAAGGCACCAACTGCATATCCACTTGGTGGACACTCCTTTCTTCTATTCTTCTTTGTGCATTGGACAGGTGCTTGCATCTCTTTGTTACTGCATTATCCGTTAGTTCCAGTTAAAAGGAGCTGTTCTCCATATCAACAAAACATTTTTCGTTTTAAAAAATTTAACTAAAATCAATTTCTTAAAATATTGGAATGAAATTTTCATGACGCTGAAGCCAATAAGTTGGAGACTTGTTTAACATTTATTAGTAATTTTCACATAATTTAAATACTGTATTTTTTCGACTCACGGCCCTTAACCCTTCAACAGTGCAATACATGCATATACGATATGACATAAAATATTTTAACATAAGTTTTTAAAATTTGCACACACACTTTCCAATTTCTGGGGGGAGCCCCTACGGCTCTCCGGAGCTATCCATGGCTGATATGGATACCCTAACTATTTTGCATCAGTCGATGTGGGTGGAATTCTAGGCCTACCGGGGACCACTAGCCAGAACTTGGCTCCCTCACAGAGGCATGAGGAGCAATGGCCCATAGGAATGCACGTGTGATTTGGAGTGTTCTATATCTGCCCTCGATCGGGACAGGCACCCCAGAAAGGTAAGCGCCACAAAGCAAACCCCTATTCTGGTTAACAACAAAAATCGTCAAATGAGTGGACAGAACTCTCCAAAAGAAAAACGAGCAAACAAGCATGACGTCACATGAGCCACGCTGCATGTCTGCGCAGCTTCCTCCTCCCTGGGAGGGTGAAGGGGCTCCCTGGGAGGGGGAAGGGGGAGCCCCAGACCCTCGCACCGGTGAACCTCACCCCAGTTCCTCGGCTGATGGGATCGTGCACAGTCGTGTGGCTCCAGCTCCAGTCTTCTCTGTGCTGTTCATTGTTTTCAGTGCTGCTCTTACAGTGGTTGTGCGAGTTGGGAGTATTATTCTCAGGTACTTGGGCTGCATGTGCTTAGGGTTATCTTCTCTGAGTGCCCTGTAAGTACCACCCTAGGGGCTTGGGGTTCCCTTCCACAAGTCACCTTGGGTCTACCTCTGTTGGCCTTTCGCTGCTTGGCGTTTGGCCGCCCTGAGTGTGTGGGGGGTTTCCACCCTTGTTTGCCTTGGGGTAAGTGGTAGTTGTTGCACTGGTGGGGCACGTGGTACTGCGTAGCTAGTTTTCTCCATCTCTCTACCTCTCCACTACACCTGCTCATCTGTGCAAGCATCTCTGGACATGCTCAACTAGCAATGCTCCCAGACTATTACACTGCTACTCTGTGTCGTGACCGGATCGTGCCTCTGCTCTACAGGTGAGATTATACTGTCTGGTGACTGTCAGCCGGGATACGGGACACTTCTTCATTTCCCGTCATTCAGTGTCTGGCTGCACCTTTTATGTTCTGAACCATGCTGTCTGACCCACATAGCAGTTGGGTCGGCCCATGTGTTGCGTTTCTGCGGTGGTCACCCGGGTTGACGTCGGTGAGCACTGATTTTCACGTTCAACATTTCCCTGTTGAATTGATGTCCCCATGGCGCAGTGGTACGACACTGCCCTAGTCTAACCTGACATTCCTAACTTTGGCTTTTTGGGTTATTGAGTTGTCAAGATGTTTTCCACAATATTCTTGGGGCATTCCCCGATTTTGCCTTGGGCGACCGGTATGGGTGTGCAGAGTGTGGGTTGCACCGATTGGCATTCTGGTCAGATTTTGACATGGGGTTCAACCATGTGTACGTTATATGTACACACACAGCCCGTACCTATGCTTTCTATATGTACGGCATGTATAGACACTTTCTGTACCCCCTCCCCTTCCTCCTATGGGTTGGAAGCCATATTTACTGTTCTTGGGGTCTGGGTTTTGGTGCTCGTGTGGGGTTTGCTTCTCATTTGCACTTGAGTTTGGGCGAGTGTCTTGTTTTCCCTTGCTACTATTCTGTGTATATGGTTCATGTACCTTCTGTTGCCGACTGCTTTTGCTCTTGTCCCTGGCTTCCAGTGCTTGGGCTGTCTTTCAGGTCTTTTCTTTGTATTTTTACATCTTCCTACCTCTCTCCTACACCTTGTTGTGTATCTTGGTAGGTGCGTCTTGGCTATTCTCATGCTCGTGCTAGGTGGGGGTCTGTTCTTGTTCTGTTTCCTATTGTAGAACAGGCCCAGTGTTCTGGTATAGCTCTGAGTTCTTCCTCTTCTCCTTGTCTGTCGCTACCAGCTTCTGTGTTGCAATGTCTGCTGGTGTATATAGCTTCATCACCCACTCCTGCCCCTACAGTTCCTTTTCGTTGGAGCAGGGGGCGCTTGGCTTCTGGCCCTGGCTATGGCTTTTCTGTCTTTTCTGTACTCGTCCCAGGGGTTCAGTCCTTAGACAGTTGTTTGGTAGACTTGGGTGTCGAAGCAGCAGTACCCTACCTGGGCTTCCCTGAGTGTGAGTTCCGTCTCAGGACCCTGGGAATCCCCCACGAGGGCGCGTGGGTCCAATGGATGTGACCCCTGAGTCCTCCCTCGCTTTGTGTGAGTTCGAGGGTTGCTCTGTCCCCTTGTCTCAGGGCGACTCTTACTGTTTTTGCTTCCATCTGCTGCCTGTTGGGTTGGTGGTACCTTTGATCCTGCGAGTTTTGTTGCTTGTTTGTGACTCGGTTACCCTTTCTTATGCTGATTATGTAGGTGCAGGCGGCACGAGCATTGCACGTTGGGTTCAGGTGGTTGCAATGTGCAGGTTGTTTGCTCCCCGAAAGCCCTGAGGCTCTCCCGGTTTGGTTGTTGTGACAGGGCTTTGGGGTGTTGGTCGCTTCGGTTTTGTTTCTGTTCGCATTCCATTGTCTTTCCCCCTGTTGTGGGTTAGTCTGCCCCTCCCCCCCTTTCCTCCCTGCGTCCGGATCCTCACCGTCTGTGGGTTCGGGGTTGGGGCAGGGTTTCGATGGTCTTGAGACACAACTCGGCCCCGGGTCCTGCCGTGGAGGTTCCTGGGGCTGGGGTGGGTGGGGCTGACTTTGGGGGCTTGGCCCCGTTGAACCCCGTGGGGTTTTCTACTCTTTGAGTGGGGCTTGCGGTTATGGGGCCTCATAGCCTGGTGGATAGCGCGCAGGACTTGTAATTTTGTGGCGCGGGTTCGATTCCCGCACGAGGCAGAAACAAATGGGCAAAGTTTCTTTCACCCTGAATGCCCCTGTTACCTAGCAGTAAATAGGTACCTGGGTGTTAGTCAGCTGTCACGGGCTGCTTCCTGGGGGTGGAGGCCTGGTCGAGGACCGGGCCGCGGGGACACTAAAGCCCCGAAATCATCTCAAGATAACTCAAGATAAGATGGGGAGAGGGATTTTCCTTTCCCCCCTCTGCGTACGAGTTGGGCGTCGGTCCCTCCCCGGGTTTGGTTCCTTGTTCCTTCGGGTCCATTGGTTCCAACCTATTGGAGGGTTCTCTTCTCTGTTTTCTCACTCTTCTTCTCTGGGACAGGACTTCTCCGTCCTGTCAAGGTCGTGTTCCCCTCGTATCAGGGTTTTACACGACCTTTGACCTCAGGTGCAACTGTGCCTTTCTGAGCCTTCGTGATTTTGTGCATCTCTAGGCTCTCGAAGGTTCAGGAAGGTCTTTGATTCTTCCCACTTTATTGGAACATCTGTCGTCTTCCGGTGAGACTTTCCTCCAGTCCTTTCTAGGACTCGTTGGTCCTCTTCCATGCCTCTTCTTGGTTTTCGGTACTGTCTCGTTCTTTTGTCATTATATCTTCTCTCCGTGCTGTCTCAGCACTGCTATTATTCCTTAAATGCTCCTCATTGGTGCCTTCCTCACTGGGGCGGGTGTGCGGTTTGGACCTCATGCGTCCTGCGCATGCGCCGTGGGAGTTTTTGTTATGGACGGTGTACACAAGTGCTGGTGTTCCGCGTCCTTTTTCTCTCCTGTACTATGCCTCTCGATCCTCTTATCTCCCCTGTCCAAGCCCCGTAGATACTGGGGGTGTTCTGGATTACCAATATGGGGAGGATGCCTGGTTTTCTCTGCATACGAGTGTGGGATGCCGCATTCGACTCTACTTTACTCTTTCCCTGCATGGGCGGCTCTGGCTTTATTCCACTGAATAAACAATGAAACGCCATTTTCTGGGTAAGACCCAGAGGCTCCTCGGCAACACTCTCCCCCTCCCTCCGGTCGGCATTTTTTTCTTGTGTTTTGATATCAAGCCTCAGAACCGAGGTCTTGGGTTGCCGGCACGAGGTTTCTGGGGCTCCCCCTTCTCCCTCCCGGAGAGGGGGAGGAGCTGCACAGACAGTGGCGCGGTGACGTCATGCTCATTAGCTCATTTTTTATTTTGGGAGTTCTGTCCACTAGTTTGGCTCTCAGTAGCAATTTCTTAACCAGAATAGGGGTTTGTTTTGGGATGCTTACCTTTCTGGGTGCCTGACCCGGTCAATGGCAGATATGTCAGCACTGTGGAGAAATGCCTGACAGACCACTGGAACATTATCTAACACAGTGCATAGTTACAAACCCATTAAGATTTCAACTTAGATTCAACAGAGCAGAAGAGTTGTTAAACACATATGGCAAAATCTTACTGATGCGACCTTACGAGTCATAAATACTCATACTCCGCCCAAGTAAAACAGAAACAAGCAACACTTAGTGGGTCAGCCAGAGGCTTAGGGCCAGTGCAGGAATATCCCTGCAAAAAAAAAAAAAAAAAAAAAAAAAAAGATAGCAGATATAAAATGCTTTTAACCACATGGGGGGTTTCTATAGCCCATTGCTCCTCGCGTCTCTCTGAGGAGGCCAGGTTCTGGCTCGTGGTCCCGGGTAGGCCTAAAGAACTCCATACACATGACTGATGCCAAAGTCTGATATTAGCAATATCAGCCTGGATAGCTCCGGGGAGCCTCTGGGTCTCACCCAGAAAATGGCGTTTCATTACAATCAACGTTGTTTTTTTTGCCTTGGGGGGGGTATCTCTTAGGCATCATTTTAATTATTGATTGATGTAGCTCAGTGTTTTCTTGTGTGTACTTTCTAGGTTAAAATGGAGGAAGTATTAGTAAAAGAAGAGCCATCAGGCTGGTTTCCTGAAACTGAGGAAGGCCTCGAGAGCTTACAATTTAGCGAGGCAGATACAAGCCTCGGGTACACACACCAGCCAACAACTTTCCGGGGTGGATGTCTGCCGTGGGATTTGGCCGCTGCTGCCACCCAGGCTCATGTCCTTGACTCTCAGTTGTCACAGGGCATTCCAGGACCCTCAAGAATGCAAGGAGTGAGTACTATGTGATTTTTGCATTGTGAGGAAACTGCCTTAATGATTGAACACATGTGCTGTATGTCATTGCTCCAGTGTCTTAAGATGGAGTTCATTAGCTCAAGATGCAGAGCTCTCCCGATGTTAGTTTGAGAGATTTATTACAAAATGATCACAGCTCCTTAATTCAGAACTGAATATGGTTTATGGAATATGTTCACTGATATAAAGTCTTGGATATAGTATATTAACAGTATATTTAGATATTTTATTCTTATAGGTTCATTTAGAATATATGCTTATCACACTCGCCTAAACCCGAGATTAGACTTTCCTGTGATAAATTAAAAATACTGTAAATATGCTCTGTGGTCATGTATGGTTAGTTAAGTAATTGGCATTCTTTTCATAGTGGGGCATACCTTCGTTTGTAGTAACTAGTAAATTTAATTTTATTATGCAAGTGTCTATTGTTTATTTTGTTCAGATTTATGTGGGTCCCATGTTGGACCCTCTTCCCTGATTAACTGTTACCAACTAGCTCCAATCTCAGATAAAGCTTAACGATAAAATGTTCTCAAATCTCGACCCATTGCCACAAGTGTTTAACTAGTTCATATCATGCCAGAGTGAGAGCTAGGTTCATAAAATTTGATCATAGCTAGCCATGCTACATTTAATTATCTATTTAATGCATTACAACAAATTATCCTAACCAGTTACCACGAGTCTTTTGAGCTCGTACGTTTCTACAGTGTTCTTGTAGACAGCCACATGTATTGTAATCATTAAGGGGTACAATCACATTACATGGATTGCTGAACCTGAGGATCTTGGGTAAAGTAAAGTTAATCTTCATTTGATACCAGTTTTCAAAAGGTTATGCTTATCTGACGATTCTCTCTCTGTCAATAGATTTAATAATTTTATTATTCATTCTCTTACTATATTTTCGATGATTGTTGACAATCAAGCATGCATATATTAGGTGTGAATCTTGTTTACTGTATGGTTCTTCGATGAATGTTGGGTGTGAGTCTTGTTTACTGTGTGGTTCTTCGATGAATGTTGGGTGTGAGTCTTGTTTACTGTGTGGTTCTTCGATGAATGTTGGGTGTGAATCTTGTTTACTGTGTGGTTCTTCGATGAATGTTGGGTGTGAGTCTTGTTTACTGTGTGGTTCTTCGATGAATGTTGGGTGTGAGTCTTGTTTACTGTGTAGTTCTTCGATGAATGTTGGGTGTGAGTCTTGTTTACTGTGTGGTTCTTCGATGAATGTTGGGTGTGAATCTTGTTTACTGTGTGGTTCTTCGATGAATGTTGGGTGTGAGTCTTGTTTACTGTGTAGTTCTTCGATGAATGTTGGGTGTGAGTCTTGTTTACTGTGTGGTTCTTCGATGAATGTTGGGTGTGAGTCTTGTTTACTGTGTGGTTCTTCGATGAATGTTGGGTGTGAGTCTTGTTTACTGTGTAGTTCTTCGATGAATGTTGGGTGTGAATCTTGTTTACTGTGTGGTTCTTCGATGAATGTTGGGTGTGAGTCTTGTTTACTGTGTGGTTCTTCGATGAATGTTGGGTGTGAGTCTTGTTTACTGTGTGGTTCTTCGATGAATGTTGGGTGTGAGTCTTGTTTACTGTGTGGTTCTTCAATAAATGTTAGGGTGAGTCTTGTTTACTGTGTGGTTCTTCGATGAATGTGAGGTGTGACTCCTTGCTAAACGTTGGGTGTGACTCCTTGCTAATCATTGGGTGTGATGATTACATTATTCTAGCGTATTATTCTTAAATGATTATTTCGGTGATTGTTATTCATTGACGTGATTATGACACTCATGATTTTATTGTTATTTTCTGTCTGTTTGATCCTTTCCTGATTGTTGGGTGGGATTGTTAACTGACTTCTGTGATTCTGACATGGCATGATTGTGACTCATGGAAGTTGAATGAGAATTTTCAATGATTGATGATTGTAATGCTTTCCTCAATTTTAGTACTTCTTGAGTAAATCTTCAGAGACCATGGAGTATGATTTTGTAGTGATTGTCATACATATTTCTGCATTGGTTGTTAGATGATCTTGTAATGACATGAGTAAAAATAACTACAATCAACATGTGAATCATAATTCTTTGTCGATTGTCAGGTGTGATTCTTTGTCAGGTGTGTGGTTCTTTGTCGGGTGTGTGGTTCTTTATTGGGTGTGGTTCTACACAAGTTGTTTAATAGCTGTTGAGAGAAAATGTGTAGGAAATCAATGTATGAACATGCTGCAAATGTACATTTTGTCCTTTGTGCTTGGCATACACTTTGTGTCACTTGTCTCTCGGGCACTTGTAGCAACCTGCTCTTGCCTTCTGCTCTTTACATGTGCATATACAACTTGTCTGTGACTGACCAACATCATCATCCTTGTCATCTCATCTTGTCATATCGTCTTGTCATCTTATCGCATCTTCTCGTCTCCTCTTCCCCCACAGAGCTCTCCTTTCCTTGGTTCTGACCCACAGAGCTCTCCTCTCCTCTCCTTGTCTCCGTGGTTCTGACCCACAGAGCTCTCCTCTCCTCTCCTTGTCTCCGTGGTTCTGACCTGCAGAGTTCTCCTCCTCTTGTCTCCATGGCTCTCCTCTTACCTCTCTATATAAATTAGTGAAAAGAAAGCTTCAGTTACAGTTAAGTCAAGAAAATTCTTGTGCTTTAGTATCCTTTCCTTATCCAAGGTACAGCAATCCATTTATAGTTATTATTATTGCAATTCAACTTTTGGTAAGGCCTCAGAAGTATGTGTTCAGTAGTGCACATGTTAAATGGTTCATCTGGATGAAACAATTTGCTTGTTCATTTTTATTGAGGATTAATTCTTGTAAATTTTGTTTTTTTCTTATTAATTAGGAACAATATTATTTGTTTTCCTTTCAACATTCACCAGTAACACATATTTTTGTTTGGCCTAACTCTGATGTGAAATTCTTGTGCTGTAGTGAAATAATTTTAGTAATGTGTTTAGGAACATTTCTTTTGAAAATGTATGAAGACCCCAAAGCATGGGAAAATATTGGACAAGGCCCTTTAGTTCTGTTCATGGGACAGAACCAATTTGTGGGGTTAAAGAAAGGAATGTGCATGAACTATCCAGAATGCTTTGGCAAGTGTCACAAAAGTTTGGACAGATATATTTTCTTGTTTTATAAACATACATCTTCAGGAATTGTTGAAAATATTTATAAATATTATATTACAGTACAGTGAAGTGTGAGAGTGTTTTGAGGTTATAAAGAAGTGAGTTGTATTAAGTTGCTGCATTTAAGGAGTGTTCTTCTTCAAAAGAAGGCTGGATGACCATACAAAATTACATCAGCAATCAATGGCATATTTAGCCTTAAGTTTGAATCAGACATTTGTGTTTACTTTAGAGACCTGTACATCTTTTCTTAATCATGGTGGTATGGTTTGTATTTATTAAACAATTTGTTTATTTATTTATTTATTTATTATATACAAGAGTTCTCACATTCTTGTAGAGCCACTAGCACGCAGAGCATTTCGGGCAGGTCATTAATCCTAATTTTCCCTGGAATATGATCTGCCAAATCATTTACTAACCAGATACTCATTCACTGCTGGGTGATCAGAGGCTACAGTTAAGGATTGGCGCCTAGTCAATCCTTCCCGGCCAGAATACGAACCCAGGGCAAAGTGCTTGCGAAGCGCTAGGAGAGTGCTTTACCGTTATGCCACAGGGATTTACAAGTTATGAAGTACTACCAGGTTGTCCATAGCAATAAGAGCCTTGAGGTGAGATGTTTGGAAAATCATAAATTATTTAATAAAATATAGACTAAGCCACCGTGATCGAGACAAGAAGTATGGGTTTCTCGGATAGATGTATAAATGTTGGACAAATCCTGGCCCTGGTACTTAAGGATGGTCAGAATATCAAGTACACCTTCACCGGTGTACTGGAATTCCAGATACTCGGGAACGGTAAAAGTGAGGACCTTAAACAAAATGTAGGGTGTAAAACACAATCAAATCTGCCCATAGTAGGAAAGCAGCATGTGAAGGATCTGGGAATGATGATGTCTAATAACCTATCATTTAGGGAGCATAACCAAGCAAATATAGCATCAGAAAAATGATAGGTGGCCCAGGTCCCAAATCTATTTGGTAAAATAAAAACGTACTGGAGTGAACGATATGGAAGGAAATACATAATAGAACCAGAGTGAAGAGCAGAAGTGCCATAGGTACAATCAGAGAACACTGTATAAACAATGCTAACATTTCATCAAGGCAAATGCCCCAGCACGACCTTTGACAAGCCGCTGGCTTCCTGTCCTTGTTAAGGACACTAGGATTAGTGGCCCTTGGGTAAATCAGGTAAAAAAGCAGCAAAGGTCCACGGTTGTTCAACATCCTCCCAGCAAGTGTAAGAAATATTGCCGGAACAAACGTGGACGATCTTCAAGAGAAAACTCAGTAGTTTTCTTCAAGAAGTGCTGGACCAGCCGTGGTGGATATGTGAGCCTGCGGGCCGCTCCAAGTGGCCCACAGCAAATATATTGTTGTTGGCCTGTTGGACCAAGTTCCCACAAGTCGAGCCTGGCTCCAGGCTGGGCTTGGGGAGTAGAAGAATTCCCAGAACCCCATTCAGGTACAATCCAGGGACATGCCCTAGTGATTCTGTCTTCTGCACACTACATACCCCTTAATGACAACTTGCCAAAGTTTAATATTTTTTGAAGGATCACTTATTTATTGTTAATGTGTATAATGCCAAGTCAGATTTTCCATTGCTTTGAGGTCTGAAGAACCTTAGGTTGAAGAGCTGTGTTGCTGCTGGATGCAAGAATATAAGGTAAATATTATATAAGTAGTAGATATTATATTATATTATGTAGCAATAATACTTGTGAAAGAAAAATATTATTGTGATTGCCAGTTCTGAGTTTATATGTGGAAACTTTGGAGCTGCCTTGAGAATATTGTGCAAATGGAGAACCTGCTATTGGGAATGGGAG